TGGCAGCTTTATGATAGCTTAGCCTGCAGCGGTTCTCAATGATCCGCGAATTCCATCGAGGTGGATATCCATCGGCGTCGCGCGGCGCGATTAGTCCCACGTAAACGACCTATTATTATTCTATCGCTGCATAAATGGTGGTTTTCTCGGCTGCTTGGTTCCATTCGCGCGGTCAGGACACATTGTTGTATGAAGTTCCGGGAGGTTTTTCCGAGCCACCGAAATGGCTTCGCGACAATGCGACATCTTTGAATGGGTAGTGAATACCACCGCGACGTGGCTGCCAATGGGCGAACTTTTTAATCGGGCAACATAGAGGAAGAGAGGGAGGGAATTTTTTTCAGCTTTCAATAAATCATAGGCGCACGTACGACTGTATTAAGGACGGCGAACGAAAGGGGTGGAGCGAGGGTGGCTAGACGAAATCCCCCGGAGGCAAAGCCGGTTAAAATATCGACAAATTTCCGATGACTCCCTTTTCCCTCCTCTTTCCTGCGCCTTCCCTTTTTTTTTTTTCATTCCTTTCTCACTAGCTGGCTGCTCGAAAGAAATATCTCGCGGACTCGGCCGAGAGCATATTCCTCATTTTTCAAAAGCGACCCGCTATTGACGGAGATTCACGGCGGAGATAATTTCACTGGCGTCGAGGAATTTGATTTAGTGAATATCGCGGCTTCGCGCACCCTTCCGCGTACACCCGATATCCGAGCCAGCTCGCGATTTATTTTGCTCCCTAATCTACGCGTTAACCCTTTCAGAGCCAATTTTTTTTTTTTCGAACTGATATTCGTTGGAATTTTTCGAATTTAACGAATGAGAGTTCAACGGGACACGAGTTGCGTGGTGCGCCGACTGATATTAATGCTACAACGACTTTATCTCTAGCGATACTAAAAGTTCAATTTCAATTAACTATGTGTTCGCGTACTTAGCGAAAGTAAGTCGCTGTTAACAAGCTCAGACAGTTGAAAATAGTTTGAAACTTCTTGGAGTATCTAATCTTCTCGAAGGTTGCAAGCATACTGTATACCAAAAACACGAGACAACAACGAAATGAATCAATCGTCCGGGCGTAGGAAGAGAACACGCGGAAGCGCCGAATTAGGAAGGTTAGGAAGTCGGTTTGCGGTTGAATGTTTGGCATTCTAATGAGGAAGGCGGCGTTTACACGCCTTATGCTTCGTTCACGCGACGCGCGCGCGCTACGTGAGCACGATTGTTATCGTGGCACTTGCGCGTGGCGTGGGCGACACGCGTCGACGTTCACCGTAGCATCGCACCGCGACGACAACGTCGTCGTCGACACGTGAATCGCTTCGCCGAATTTCCGATTCGCTAATTCCCTACCTGATAATCCCCCGAATCACCGCGATTTCGGCCGTGATTCCGTGGCAAATTAACAGGTTGTTGCGCCAACGGATAGTGCTTGTCGGTATTCTCTACCATAAATTGAAACTTTCCACTTTAATTCTCATGGACTCTAGCAAATTTCGGGTATCGTGAAACCCGCAGAATAAGAAATGAAATAATAATGCTAAGTTTTCTTTAAATATACTATATAAAGCTTATTATTAATAGGAATGATAATTATAAAGGTTTCGTAACCGCAAACGGAGTTTAATAATATTCCCTGCATTGGAACTCAATTTGTGCTCCCACAAATGGAATGCCGAAATATATCTATGGAAAGTTTAAGGGTGGATAATTAATATCGTGGAAAGGGAGAATTAATAGCTAGTCCAGGAGGCCAGTAGTGTCCTTTCCCAGAATAGAATTACTATCTCGATTCGGTCGCATGATTAACCCCGGGAGAGTCACGGTAACAAGTAGAGAAACCTCGAAGAGATCCGTTACTCCGGCGCGCTCGATTACGTCGCATGGCGATATTTCATGTCACTTCCGGTTCCACAGTCCCTCCAGCTAGGAGAGGTTATGAGACTTTATTCGGAGGGAGGCGCGAAGAGTAACAGAGATCGGGAGAGGCAGAGACGGAAACAAAGAGCCTTCGCTCGAGAGTTAATTTCAATTGGATTACGTTGAATATTGTCAGCGCTTACGTCGAGGCGTCGCATTCCGAGCATTCGCAGTGGAGCGAAGGCTGCGCATCGCGACGCGCGAAGTCACGACTCTTTCATCTTCTAACAAATTATCGCCGAATGAGCAATTATCGTTAAATGCGAAGTAATGCTCTTAGAAGGCATCCGCCTCAGTCTTTTTTCTTTCCCTCGCCGAAGAAAATTTCTTCCCTCCGATTTCGCTCGGTAACGCGAGATGAACGTTTCGATAAAGTACGACGACGACAGATGACCCGAATCAAACGAACCGTGGGCCTGGTTCAATTTATTCGAAAAGCCGTCTCCGTTGCGACAACAGACCGCGCTAAGTAATTTCGATAGACCGTTTTAATTATTTGTCAACCTCCACACGTACAGAGACCGCAATCGTTGCTGCGCGTTCAATCGTTCTTCCCCGGTGGAATGGCCCGAACAAACAGTCAACTTTCCCGCTGTGTTTCGTCCATTAACGAACTCTCGCCGACTGACTGTTTGACTTTCGCTTCCGAGAGAAGCGCAATTTTTATATTAAAAAAAACGGGGTAAAAAATGTTCGAAATCGTCCGGAGAACCGGTGCCAAATAATTCGCGGTTTGACCTGAATTCTTTATAAGAGCAACGGAGCGCGATAAACGGTTCGAGAAGTGGCGGCATGTGAAATCGGGAGACGGTTCATCGTTCGATAATATTCAATCGCGTTTCCTACGTTTAACAGAGAGGAAAGAATGAGCAAACGTTTCTTCTCGTTAGCTTGGCACAATGCTCATCGGCCTCTAAAGTCCGGCTCGAGCCCCCGAAGGCATCTCGACAACGAAGATGAATGCAACTTTTTCCCTCGTCCCTTTTCACGTTTCAAAAGTAAAGGGCAAAAGTGACATGCTCCTCGATCCACAGAGAGCACGAAGGGAGGGAAGGTGGCGATGGAAGAGCCAGAAGGCCGATACAAGGCTCATTGTTGCCACGGCTGCCACTCTATTGTATAGGAGTTTCGCCAAAGTTCGCCAATTTGCGTTTTCTTCTCCAATGCGACAAAGACGCGGTCGAAGGACGCCGCCACCAGATAATATTTCCACACGCCACCTCTCCCCCCCCGCTCACCCTCATCCTCTCTACAATACTTTCTTCTCATTCCTGGTCCTTTTTTTTTTCTCCCCTCACGTACACTTTCTCCCCGTTCGCGCTATTCTTCTACGTCGGTCCTACTCTTTTAGACGAGGACGCGGTCGAGGATCTTTTTATGCGACGCCGCCGTCGCGTAAGGGGTGTTAAAAGGAAACTAAAGACGCTGGATGATAATAATAATCATCGCGCGTAATGACGATGATAAAAAGGACGATAATAGCTCGGCGCAACGACGAACGTGGGAAGAGACGTTTCAGTTGATGCGCCCCGCCGTTCTTTTTAATTATTTCGATTTCACATCTCGATCTCTGCGTTTCCCATCCCTCCCCGCACTTTTCATCCGATTTTCCCGTTGTAACTGAGAAACGAGACGCGTCACTTGCTCGTACCGCACGTTTTTCGCCCCCTTTGCATTTACCACCCTTCGGAGCTCATTTTGTCATCCTTTAAGCTCGGAAGTCTAGGCTCGTCTGACCGCTTTAGCTTGTTCCGTCGTTGGAAAAGAGAAGACGCGACGCGAGGCGTGGCGATGCCGCGGGCTGAACGCGCGCGCCCTGTTGATGGAATCTGTCGCGAGCTGCGAGAGAACGCACCGGAGGATAGAATCGGGCCTCTCTGAAAGGCTAAACGGCAACCGAGGAGGAGGAAAAGAACCTCTCGGTACAAGGAGGCGAAAAGGCGGAAGCGGTACACCGGATGGGATACGTACCAACGGGCACGAAGAAAGGTGTGTGCACTGGCAGAAAGAACCGGTTGAGTGCTCCTCGAGCCTACGGCGATCGGAAAGTTTCACGGAAACGAGTCCTCATGAGAGGATTTTCGTCGCATTTCCAGCCGACGCGAGACGCGTCGCGAGAGTCATGCGATAAAAGAAGTCGAAAATCCAGGTAACGCACAAATTTTTTTTACATTGTTGAAGAAAAATAATTTTTTCGTTTTCTGCGGTACGAACTAAATTATAATAATAAATCTCGATATGCTTAGAAACGTTTGAATAATAGTATTTTCTTTTAACCAATATTCAAATAATTTACTCGGGCAATTGTAATTCTGCATACTTGTTTTGCGACGTTTTATACGATTTTTACCGCACCGATAGATACCGCGATTCGTGTCTGGCGAATAAACAACTAGTCCAAGGCACGTCGGGACCAAAGACGAGGATCGACGTGACGCAACGGTGTCAACAGGAGGCAACTTTAAGATTCATAAGGGAACACGAGTCGAAAATCGATCCCCGGTCGAATCAATTTCCTGGTAACCTCGTAAGCTCCACGATCGTTTCCCTTACGCCGTGCTACGCAACCACCACCCCTTTTTTAATCCCTAGATCGACTACGGTGAATCTATCTGGCGAAAGAATTCGGCGAGAGGAAAAATTTAATAAATTTCGTATTCACCGGGGAGGCGTAAAACGGTGGTATAGTATATAAGATTGGCGCGACGCGACGTCGCGATGCCCCGTGGCCGACGAGAAGAGCTCGTAAATACTTGAGATCGTTTGAATACATTCAAGTAACGGGCCGATCGAATTTCCGTTTTCCGTTCGAACTCCAACGAAAAGCACAAAAATCTAGCGAGCTCGTTGAAGTAAATTTTCGTGCAGTGACGGGACGGACGATTAGAGTCAGCCCCACTCGTTTCGTAGAAAGAGTAGGTAAGTGACGAACGGGTTGGAAAAATATAAAAACAGCTATGATTAAGTGATGTAGCTCGAGAGACGACGTTCGCCAATGACAATGCTTCCGCATACAAGTAGACTTGTTTGCGACCTGGCAGCAATGTCTTTGAGCCGCGAAATCGAGGAAACTAAATAAGACTTACGCAATTCGCAGCATTGGATGAAGTTTCGAAGCCGTTCAAGTGTAAGCGATGCCGATATCCGGTAGATAAGGAAGCCGGCAGAAACGTAATTGTGCTGACCCTCCCGTCATCGATAGAACAAGTACAATTCCTGAAATTTTAAAAAAAACCTAAGGTTACTTCAATCATGACAAAAGAAATTAATTAATTAATTGATTTAGAACGAATATAATTATAGAATGTATAAAAATTTCTATGTTGCATTTCAATCCTAATTTTAGACGATAAACTCAAGACCGGAGAACATATTAAGTAGCACATGTTCCGATGTTGGCGAGAGAAATCTTAGAGGAAGTTGATAGGTCAAGCCACAGAAGTTGGCCTTTATTCTGTTGCACTATGTCTGAAAGCGGAGCCAACAGTTTTAGGGTAGAATTTGTAACCGCATAGTCAAACTTCACGTTATCGCGTACGCCGTCCAACTTAACTTAGGCACACCGTGGCACGAAGTTAACGAGGGACGACGAAGAATGTTTCACCTTTAACTTTATTTTGTAACTCAGAACCCGAGTCTCCGCAGAAAAACGAATGACGTATCGTACAAAAAGGTTGGAAACCCACCCTCGTTGGATGGGAACATTTATAGACGTACCCGTCGAGATTACCGGTCATTACTTTCCTGCGTTATTACCAATACTGCGAAATCCTTCGGTAGGTAAGAAGCCGTAGAAACCGTGGAGCTGCGATCATTGTGGGCGTGAGACATTCGAGCTAACACATAACGATACGATAGTCGCACCATTTTCGAGAACAGCGATAAAGTGGCAAAACAGATTAGAATAGTCTGTTGTTCAACATTTGTACGACGATACACGAGAAGGCGCGTGACTATTCCTATGCATGAACAGAAAAAATGAATCGAGAGGTCCAATTGCAGATCCGTGTTCTGCCTACATCTGTAATTGGTTTTCTGTTCCTACGCTTTAAAGAGCCACCCTCAATCCCTCAACGTCGCGCGGCAGCGAGCCACCCTATATATATTCTGGTCCGAATATCCCTCAAAGAACTCCTACAGGCAAACCTGACACACATAGACACACGCGCCCAAGTAGAACCCTATGTGCAGGTCGATGTGTGCGCGGTTCTCGGATCCCCTTCCTATACGTAGAGTACATCCATCTCTGCTATCCGGACAAAGCGAAGGAAGCCGTATGTGCATTGAACATTGATTTTAAACGCGGGCCGCGCTACAAGAACCGTGGTCGTAAAAAAGGCCTGAACCCAGCAGACTTCCAAGTTTCTGTTCTCCGTTTCTAACGGAAAACTGGAAGCGCCAGGCGCGCAGACACGACGGATTGATATGGAGAAGATCTGAGACGTCTATCGACTCCGACCCAGCGACAAGTAGCTTCGTAGACAATGGCGTAGTTACGTACATCCACACACACACACACACACACACACACACATGATAAACGGTCGAGCTTTTTCTCTATGGAACGGATCGATTCTGAAAGCAGTTGGCTTCCGCGAAACGCTTCGTTACTCGTCTTCTCTTTTATTTTTTTCCTTTTCCCACCGAGCCACTTCAGGGATGCACGTGTATCTCGTTTGAGAATAATGGTTACTTCCTAGTGAATGCCCGGTTGTACCTACTATGTAACTCCGCGAACAGAGCCTCTGGATTCTTTGAAAAGATCCGCTCGAAATTATTCTTTCGAAATTCGTGCTCTCCTTCGTGTGGAGAACTTTTTTTCGAACTGGAAATTAGACTTAGCGAGCCGTTGAGAAATCCGAAATCCGTTCCAGTGGAACGCGTATCTACGTATATACGTCAATGCACGAAAACCTCTTACCATGCGTTATCGCACGGAATACAGACGATCTTTTAACATTATTCTCGTTCGAAAAGAATGGAAACACGAGTTAACGCGGCGCGCGCGTTCTCCACTCATACATAAATTCTTAAGCGCCTTCTTATTCGGGATCCGTTCTACGAGTGTGGAACGGGCGGTGAAAAATATATTTGCCGGCGAAGGGAATTTAATTGTGTATCGTGGAAGGAGATTACGGTTTTGGAATGGTTTCCTTTTTTGCAGCGGCAAGTATATTATTCAACGAGACGGCAGAGAGTATTTGATGGCAAAGAACGGCGTCTACCTTCTTCAGTTATTTAAAGGGTAAAAATATATCCCGCTCTCGGAACATTTCTCCAGACCTACATAATTTACCGGAGTTATTTTTCGAGGGTTACCAACGTTCGCTCGAACTCTTGGACGAAGAAGATTTTCCCTGACATACATACCTCGCTCTATCCGTGCACCACCGGTGAGACTGTCAGACGTTTATACGAAATAACGAGGCCACACTTATTAAAACTCCAGCGAATATTCAAGCTTGCTTATATCGATGATAATCTAATTACTTTGTATTTTTCAATTTCCCCCATTAAAAAGTGTTCGCGGAACGATCGACGTCGTTTTACCTCTTTTCAAATATTGTTTGTTGTTTGAATTGACGGGTGCGAGCGCTAGAAACGTCACCGGCGGTGTCTTCTTTGGTTATTTAAAGGGTCGGAAGCGAACATCGACGCCCCTATACGACCAGGCCACGTGCAGCATACACGCCCTTGTGTACACAGTCACGATTCACCAAAGTTATTTTACGGCCTGTACGATAGCCGGCAAAGTGCTTTATATCGGCTTTTGAAATTCGGACCGGTAACTTCTCGCGTGTCTTATGAAAAATTAAGAGCTGCGGATGGCTCCACCTCCCGTGTCCTATCACGGCACTCTCGCGGCGAGTGGATGCGGCCGGAACGCTTGAATCAGTAAAAAGAGCTAATCTTGTGAGATGGTTTTTATCTAGCCGAATCACTTATGTTCTCTGCTAGTATATTCTCCGACTTTTCATACTAAATTTCGTAGCTATTAAAGACTACAGGAGTATCTGTGAACGAAGTCACTGACCTCCGGCAATTGAATTCGTTCGATCGCCAGACAAAGGACAAATATTTTGTGTCCGCCGATATTGAATTTAGCGTTGCGCGTGTCGTACAAACGGCGACACCTCGCGCTCGCTTTCTTCGGTTATTTAAGGGGTCAAGTTGTATAACGTACAGCCCGAACTCTTTCACCGCCACGTGCATACGCCACTGTATGTAGATACAGCACTCCAAAGTTATTTCGCGAGGAGGGGAGGGGGGAGGGGGCTACCGTCGTGCTCCCTATGCACATACAATTTCCCTATGTACAAGGTACACGTCTGTGCGTGCGAGTGTGCGTGCGTTCATGTGGGGGTGCCGCGTGTCTATGCGAGGGGAGAAGCACATGGACGCATACAGGAGACAGAGAAATATGCGACAGTGCCCACGAGAGAGAAGCAGAGACGGAGGGGCGGGAGAGAGAGAGAGAGAGAGAGAGAGAGAGAGAGATGCAAAGAAGCTTCGGTAGTGGTACGTAGAAAGAGAGAGAGAAGAAGAGATGAGATGGTCTGGAGCAGGGGCGCGAAGGGGTACGAGCGTAATATTGGAACCCCAAACGGTAATCGATATCACATATATCTCTCCCGATGTATATTCAACCGTCCTGTACAGTTTTCCGAAAGGAACTCCCTTAATAAAACTACTTACGAAAAGCCAGAGTGCCTCGGTGATTCGGCCTCTTTCTACGTCTTCTTTCGCCCTCCGCACGTTTCTCGTCCGTTTCGTCGTTCGTAGATATATTACTACGACCGGCCTAAGAGAGCCAAATGGTTCCGGATTTACGACTAAGGAATACCGAGTCTACGCCCTTAGACGGCGACGATGACGCCTCAGTGCGCGTGTTAAGCTTCGGCAGGTATATTAAAACGCGTCTGAGTGCGCGCGACCGTTTCGTTCTCCTTTGGGATGCGGGATCGATTATTAAGAGAGGAAGGAAAAAACTGCGGAGATAATACAAGGTGCGCGCGCGAGCGTGATTATTTGCTTCGATTAGCATTTCACGGTCGCGGTGAACCACGAATCGAGATTTCCCCGCGACGTCGGGCTCGCCGCGCGATCGCAAATACACTCTCGGCGGGATGATTTTTCGATCCTTTCCTCCTCCATTGTGATCGAGCGAGGGATGTATTTGCATACGTTGCATTGTAATGGGGCGGTGGCGTGAAAGAGCCCTGAAATTTTCAGGGGCCGAGATTTCGTCCTCGACGAAAGACCGAACGCTGTAACGCCGTACGCGCCGCGCCGTGTTTCACCGGGAGAGAGGAAACGTTAACGAGTCGGCGATCGCGAGCCGAGGAAGCGGAGCGTGGAAAGAAGGAATGAATATGAAATTAATAGTATTCCAGCAAGTGCAGCCTGGCGCAACTTCCATGCATTTATATTCGCTCGACGGGAAAGCTTTTGCTTTTCTCTGTCTATCGTCTTTTCTCTCCGCGTGTTCGCGCCCCTCTTTTCTTTTCATTTTCCCCGTCCTCTCCTGTACCTCACCGTGTTTTTCTCTTTACTATGTCGCAAACCGCCGCTGTATTTTTGAGTGATTTCTCACGTGTGTCTTGTCGCACAATTTTCACGTGTCGTATTGACTCAACGATAATGGACAACGAGAAAAGAGAGATCGGCATGAAAAGAGTCACCCGCGTCGAGTTATTGTTCGTCCGTTCTAAGCGGAGTCTGCGCGTATAGTATATGCGCTCGTGCCAGTCGTAGAAACTGTTTCTCTCTTTTCACTGATATTATTGCATCGTCTCGTCCAGTCGACTCGATATGCTGTTTAAATTCAACGACATTCTGTCGGATTTATCGACATCCCGGCGTTTCACCTTACTGTCGCGCAAGTTCTCTTTGGTAAAAAGAGAGAAAGCATTTATGCCTCTCTTCTTCGTTAACAAGACTCTATAATCATTGTAAAGCGTTCCAGAGCATCAGAAATAGCTCTATCTACACTACCGACCACCACGATTGATCGAGGAACCTTTCTAAATATTGTATCCTACCGCATTGCACTCAAACATTTTCCTATATATTCCCTATACCTATGATGCATCACAGGAGCCATTTATCCATGAGAAAAGTTGATTTCTATTACTCGAGAGGGAGCGAATATTTAAAACAAACATTTGATTCGTTGGCAAAGCCAATTGACCGGAAGGCGAGATAATCGAACTGAA